AATGAGAGCCTTAATCACTTATAATGACTCTTAGAATTCCAAACCTGCAAATATGTTAATCTTCACAAAATTAACAACAACTTTAGAATTATTAGTCCTAGTGGCTTTAGCTTCAACCCACTTAGAAACATAATCAACATCTAATAAAATATAATAAAATCCAAAAGAAGGAGAAAAAAGTCCCATAAAATCAATACCCCATACATCCAAAATTTCACAAAATAAAATAGTTTGTTGTGGCATTTTATGCCTTCTTGATATATTACCACTTGTTTTTTTTTATAAATAACACAATTTATACAACATCCCAAAGAATATTTAAATATAGTGGGCCAATAAAAACCTACATCAAGAATTTTTCTTAGTAGTCCTTTGAGAACCTTAATGCCCACCGATAGGGGAATTATGACAAAAATTTAAAATAGAATTAATTTCGTCATCAGGAATACATATTTTAATCATCTTATCATTGCAAAATTTTCATAAATAAGTATCATCTCAAATAAAATACTTAGCATCATTTTTTAACTTATCTCTTTGAGCTTTTGAAAAATGAGAAGGAAAAATAGAACCAACAATATAATTTACAATATCTGCATACCAAGGTCTATAATTTAAATTAATACTATAAAGGTTCTCATCAGGAAAAGAATCACAAATAATACACTACAAGAAATTTTAATATTACCGACGGTTAAAATCCATCGGAAATTTGATGGTCGGTAATATTTTTATTATTTATTAAATTTCCCTTTATATTTTTATAGCCTTTAATTATTATTAGATTAAGAGAATTGTTATTAGCAGGATTCGAACCCAGTACCTTAGAGTTAGAGGTTGATACTCCAACCACTAAGCTACCAAATTTTTTTGATAATAATTTACAAATAAATTTTATTTATATATTTATATATTTATATATTTATAAACAATTATATATTTTTATATATTTATATATAATTAAATATTTATTTTTAAAATTATTTAATTTAAGAAATTATTATAAATTAATCTAATTATGATTAAATTAAATTATTAAATAAAAAATATTTAATTTTTTAATTAGGTGAATATTTACTAATTGTTAATTTACCGACTGAAATATCTGTCATGTAATTTACGAATGAATTTACCGATGGATATATCGACAGTAACTAATTATTATTTTACCGACGGATATATTCGTCGGTAAAATCAAATTCCACAAATATTTTATATCCGTTGGTAATAATTATTTTTCGACGGTTACAAATCCGTCGGTAAATATCTGTCGGTAATACGCAATTTTCTTGTAGTGATATAATCATCTAAATTATTCCCAATTCTACTTAAATGATATGCAATAAGATTTTGGGAATCACTTCTATCTCGAATAATTAAATCAAATTATTGTAATAAAAGCATCCATCTAATTAATCTAGGCTTAGAATCATTCTTTTTTTTTCAATAAATACTTAAGTGCAGCATGATTAGTATAAACGATAACATTATAACCTAACAAAAAATATCTAAATTTATCCAAAGCAAAACCAATGGCTAAAAGTTCTTTTTTAGTAGTAGTATAATTTATTTGAGCATAATCTAATGTTTTTGAAACGTATAAATCACATAAGGAGTTTTATCAATTTTTTGTCCTAAATCATAATTGGATGCATCACACATCATTTCAAAAGGAAGATCCCAATTAGGAGGTTTAATTATAGGTGTAGTGGTTAATACTTTTTTCTAAATAATCAAATGAACTTTTATACTTATCATCAAAATTAAATGAAATATTTTATGCAATAATGAAGTAAAGGAAGAGCAATTTTACTAAAATCTTTAATAAATCTTCTATAAAAACCTCCATGTCCAATAAAAGATCTCACCTCCGTAATGAAAGATGGATAAGTTAAGTTAGAAATAACATTTAATTTAGAAGTATCAACTTCAATTCCATTTCTAGATATAACATGATATAATACAATACTTTGTTCTACCATAAAATGACATTTTTCATAATTCAAAACTAAATTATTTTCAACATATTTATTTAATACTTTATTTAAATTAAGAAGACAAGAAAATCCATAAACAGAAAAATCATCCATAAAAACTTAATATATTACAGCAATAAATTAGGAAAAATACTAAACATACAACTTTGAAAAGTACTAGGAGCATTACATAATCCAAAAGACATTCTTCTATAAGCAAAAGTACCAAAAGACAATTACAAGTAGTTTTAAATTGATCTTCAAGTGCAATACATATTTAAAAATAACCACAAAAACCATCTAGAAAACAATAATGAGATTTACATATTAATCTTTCAAGTATTTGATCAATAAAAAGAAGAGAAAAGTGGTCTTTTCTAGTATCTAAATTAAGTCTCGTATAATCAATACATATTAAATAATTTTTTTCTTTATTTTATATCATTATATAAATTAATTATAAAGATTATATTCTATATTATTATAAATAAATTATAAAGATTATATTCTATCATTAAATTACAAATTCATATAAAGAAACTTGCTCACAAATTTGACATCAAATTTTGAAAACCCACTTGACACACACTTTTACTCTCGAGCGCGCTCTCACATCCAACATATAAATATATAAATATATTTGTATTTGTATTTATATATTTTATATTTATATATTTACATGGATATACATTTTTATTTGTATATAAATATAATTTATGTATAAGTTATCATCGGAAAATCTTGGTAGCTTAGTGGTTGGAGTATCGACCTCCGACTTCAAGGTATTGGGTTCGAATCCTGCCAGTAACAATTCTCTTAATTTTATAAAAAGACTTTCTACATCGGTTCATCTGGGAACCGATGTTGAAAGTCTTGAATTCACTTTCTACATCGGTTCTTAAAGAACCGATGTGGAAAGTCCGATGTTAAAAGTGATTTCTGTACTAGTGAACATACATTAACATTTATGATTTTGTCCTCCCCCCTAAACTTAATGATTATTCTCAAAGTTTTATAACTTACATTAGCATTTATGATTTTGGTCCCCCATATCTACTTGTATATTTTAAAATTTGACATCTCATCCTTTCATATCTTTTTATCTTTTTATATTTATTTATTATTTATTGATAATATATTATTTGGTCCTCATTCACACATAGTTGAAATGTATACATATAACGAGTGACATAATGATTAATGAATTAATTCAATAACTAAAATAGTAAGAATCTTTGTTTAAATAACTCACATCATCCACAACTACATAATAGATATGTTGAGCTCTAGATTGTTCAATGCAATCTCTAACACGTCAGACATTTGTAAATATAATGAGACCTCACTCTCCCTACTAAAAATAGTATAGTCTCATGCACCTAAATGACCTTAGCAACATTCGATAATATAGGCAAAGGGTCACTAGTAGTATATTACTTCTTCTTTTTCCTATCTTTTCAACGTTGTTGTTGCACATAAATAACATTAATATTAGAAATAATATAATAAACAAGTAGTAAATAATAAGATCATTATTGTCATATTCACTACAAGAAATTTTAATATTACCGATGGTAATAACAAAAATCAATTTTTCCTATTACATTTTTATAGGCTTCGATTATTATTGATAGATTAAGAGAATTGTCATTGACAAGATTCGAACCCAAGTACTTTAGAGTTAGAGACCGATACTCCAACCACTAAACTACCAGATTTTTTTGATAATAATTTACAAATAAATTATATTTATATATTTATATATTTATATTTTTATATTTTTATATGTTTATATGTTTATATGTTTATATGTTTATATCTTTATATATCTATATATTTATATATCTATATATTTATATATCTATATATTTATATATCTATATATTTATATTTCTATATATCTATATTTCTATATATCTATATATCTATATATTTATATATCTATATATATTTATATATCTATATATATTTATATATCTATATATATTTATATATCTATATATATTTATATATTTATATATTTATATATAATATATTTATATATTTATATATTTATATATTTATATATTTATATATTTATATATTTATATATTTATATATTTATATATAATATATTTATATATTTATATATTTATATATTTATATATTTATATATTTATATATTTATATATTTATATATTTATATATTTATATATTTATATATTTATATATTTATATATTTATATATTTATATATTTATATATTTATATATTTATATATTTATATATTTATATATTTATATATTTATATATTTATATATTTATATATTTATATATTTATATATTTATATATTTATATATTTATATATTTATATATTTATATATTTATATTTTATACATTTATATTTTATACATTTATATTTTATATATTTATATTTTATATATTTATATATATATATATATATTTATATATAATTACATATTTTTATATATTTATATATGATTAAATATTTATTTTTTAAATTATTTAATTTAAGAAATTATTATAAATTAATCTAATTATGATTAAAGTAAATTATTAAATAAAAAATATTTAATTTTTTAATTAGTTGAATATTTACTGGTTGTTAATTTACCGACGGATATATTTGTCGGTAATTTACAGATGGGTTTACCGACGGATATATCCGTCGGTAACTAATTATTATTTTACCGACGGATATATCCGTCGGTAAGATCAAATTCCACAAATATTTTATATTCGTCGGTAATTTCCATCGGTAATAATTATTTTCCGACGGATACAAATCCGTCGGTAAATATCTGTCGGTAATACGCGATTTTCTTGTAGTGATTGTGGCATATAATATATGTGTATAACTAGATGTCTAGGTCAAGCAATGAAAGTTTTAAGTGTTTGTGCTACAATAGCAACCTCATCTGTAGGCATAAGTACAACAATACCACTGTCATAGACCTTCTCTACCATGACCTTAACAAAATCAGCATGAAGAGATACATTATGTAACATAGTGGGCCCTTCAATCTACTCCCCTAACGCCACCAATTGGGGGAAGTTAGTGTCTTCAACATAAAACTCACACCTGAGAGGATAGTCTTTGTCCTCCCCTGATAGCACATCTGGTTCTACAACATCTGTCTTTTGGGGGAGTCTTATGCTCATCAATCATTGGTCAAATTGTTGCCAAGGTTTGTATCATAGTCTTTATGACCTCCTATCTGATCTCCTCCCTTCGTTCATCCCTAATCTCCTCCCTTAATTTTACTCTGAGACAATGTATATACTCTTGACTGGAACCACTAGAGGAGGAATATAACTAAGTGATGTTACCCCAAAGAAATATTTAATCCCTACAACTACTCTAGCAACTCAAACATGACCGAGGTGTTTATGTTAGCCAAGGACAGTTGTTAGGATATCATGGCAACCATGAGGAGTAAACGTACCCTGGGTACATTCCTTAACTAAAGAATCATACAACATGATCAAATTCTAAGATATATTGTATTTTTAACATAATGAATATTATCACAAATAAAAAATAATTACTTATAATTCATTCAATCATAAAACATGACTCCTCAGAAATATATATGCCCGATTTTTTACTTCGAGTCTACTTCCACTTCTCATGATGTGAAGATGGAGATGATGGGTCAAAACTAGAAGTATATGATGAAGATGCAACTTGTGCTTTCTTTTTCTCCATGATCATGGCTTATTCAAGCTTTCGATAACTCCTATGAGACAATAAGTGAGATATCCAATTATGTACCTGTACTTTCTTCCTAAGACCCTATCACCAAGTACAAATAATATTATCAATTAGTTAATTATAATTGTAATTCTATACGTTAAAAACAAAAAAATGTATGACTACTTGCCATTTCTTATCTTATCTCATCTGAACAATCTATGCCCAAGTTTATTCATTAATTATCATGTATTTGGTACAAAGATTTTCATTAATCCTTGTCTTGAATACATAGTTTGTTTTAGACTTACGAATATGATAATGAAAGAATCTTCGATCTCAATGTCCTAACATTAGGGATATCATAATGTGTATGTGAAACAAAAAGAAAGGTGGTTAAGACTATATCATTAAACAAATTATAAATGAAACAATTAATATATATTAAATTTTTTACCAAGATATCTTGTCAAATAATGTTTCTCTCAGCTTTAGTAACATGATCCCAAGCTTGAACTAAGATAGAAATCTTCTCACGAGCTAATATATTGAGGTAGTTACTAAAAGACTTGGCATTTGACCTAGAGGCCATACTTGTGTTAATGTCAATAGTGAGAGGTGTCCTCTAACCATACCACGTCTAAATGAGAGGGACATCAACCTAATAACTCCTCTGTTAGATTTTTTTGGACATCTCGCTCAAATAAGCGGGTAATTGCTCAACACCAAATATTTTCCTATTAAAAAAAAGTAAAAAATTTAGATACATTTTAATAATAATTATAAGTATTAAAATAAAAAAAAATAAAAAATTAATAATTATTCATATATATATATATATATATATATATATATATATATATATATATATATATTCCTTCGTCGTGATCTTTTCTAGTGGCATGTAGATCATCAACATCATCTTTCTAATCGGTTTTAGTAATCATAGTTCATGTGAATAAACAAGTGTGACAAATATCAAGATTAAATTCTTCATTCTCATGAGTAAAATCTTGGTTTTTTTTTAATAAAGAACAACTGACCAATGTTCAGAAGTAGGATATTTGACATAAAACACTTGTGAAACTTGATGTGCCATGATAAATGGTTTATCCTGATATCCTATTTTTCAAAAATCAACCAATGTTATTCCTAATTCATCGATCTTCACACTACTTTTATTGTCAACCCACTTATATTTGAAAACCAGCATTGAAAACTTAATGTAACTAACCTCCCAAATTTCCTCAATTACACCATATTACCGTATTGATTTGATAACAAGACTTTTGTCTATTTCTAGATTCTCTATGCATATATAAGTCAATCAATGCACTTTGTCAGGGATCAAACATCCTCGAACTCAACACAAATTTGTTAAAAAAAGTCAAATTATTAATGCACATCATTATAATACAAATAGTACATTCATACAAAATTAATCCAATTAAGAAAGTTAGGACAATTACTTACTTGAGGGGAAGAATAAACTTAGGGGAGGGGAAGAATAAGTTCCACAATATACCACCACGGACCCCCCCCCCCCCCAACCCACCACAAACCATGTAGACCACCATGCAGACCATCACACACCACACATCATGTGGACTACCACACTCCACCAACCACCACCATCAACAAAGAGGGTGTGTGACTGCCACCATAGGAAATGGACTACCACCACAAGAGAAAAAGAGGGCGAGTTATAGAGGAGCGAGAGAGGGAGAAAGAATGACATATCTTCTTGGGAACTGAAGGGGACATGGCCCTCAATGTTTTGTAACTTTCATATGTATTTATGATTTTAACTCCCCAAATTTAATGATTATTAAAAATATTTGCTGGTATATTTACAACTTTGTCCTCTCACCTTTTCTTTTTTCTTTATCATTTCATATTCATTTATTATTAATTAATAATATATTATTTCCCTCCCCTAAAATCAATAGTCAAGGCCACTATGAAGATGATAGTTTGAGGAAAACACGACACGGTATAAAAGGAGGAAGTTCTTAACGAAACTAAACATGTAAGACAGAGAATAGGGTATAAAGAATATAGGATCAGTTCTACTTAAGCATAGTTGTCATATACATTATATAATGATGGTTATTAAAAGTTCATCATTGAATAACTATTGTCTCCAACATTTTTTTATAGTTATTTAATAAATGTCATCGTATATGTTATACGTCGGTAATTAAATAATTATCATCATATAATTGACTATAATTTCAAAAATACCATTGTATCGCTTTTGATGACGACTCTAAAATAATCATCATCAAAAGTTTTCATCTTTATTGTATTTTGCATTAGAGAACGTGCAATTGAGTTTGTCTTCCCTTTTGATAAATGAGGTGTGAATATTGAGAAAAAATGTTTGTAGTTTTATACTAGAGAGCATTCTCATCCCTTCATTCACAATTTCACATAAATGTGTCTTGTCAAAAAAAATATATCTATCTATTTATATATATATATATATATATATATATATATATATATATATATATATATATATATATATATATGATACATGCAATTACGTAGGCATAATTGTGTACCTTCTTAACACTAAATTAATAATATCTGCATGATCATTCCAAAGGGAAGCATTTGTGCAATTTGTACCTCTCATATAAGCTATATAAATTTATTTATGGTTGGCAAATATATTATTTTCCATTCAAGTCGATGATCAAGAAACATTAATAAAGTGTTGAATAAATATAAAAGAAGAGCATGTCCTTCCATGTTTTCAGTTGAATTCTTTGAAAACATTATTGCACGCAGTGGTGGATCTTCTTGGGAGCTGAGGAGGGTTGTGACCCCCCCAAAGTTTTGTAACTCCCATGTAATTTATGATTTTGACCCCCCCAAACTTTATGAAAATTTAATATATTTACTTGTATATTTACAATTTTATCCTCTCAGCCCCTCTTTAGTTTTGTATCTCTCATATAATTTATGATTTTGTTTCCCTCATACTTAATGATTATTTAATATATTTAAGTATATATCTACAATTTTATCCTTTCACTCTTTCATTCTTTCATCTTCTTTCTTCTTTTTATATTTATTTATTATTTATTAATAATATATTATTTGGTCCCAAGATCAATATTTTCCTTAGTCTCTCTTGGTTCTATATATAATCCAATTGCTCTAGTCTCAATGTTCAAATTGTGTCTGCATTTGTCACCCCCTCTTAATTCTTTATGCATGTTACAGTTATCCTTAGTTATCCTTTATGCATTCACTCCATGCAAATGTTTGATTTGAATATATAACATTAACATAAACGTAATAATGATAGAATTTTTTATTTTTTTTTTGCAATTGGCCCCTCCCATTATAATATTCCATATCCAACAGTGGAGGTAGCGTCCATTTATTATTTATTATGTGATTTAATAAGTGAGAAAATTATATATAACAATTACATTTAAAGTTAAGAAATACATCCTATCAATCAAACTAATTACAAAGTGGTATGTGAATAGAGATTGAGTCTGGTTGGGCTCGGGTCCAACTGCATGAGTAAAGTGGGTCAAGATAAACCTATTTGAGGGAGATGGACTTGATTGATACCTAATGGGCCCGATGCATAGATAATACGGGGAATAAGATATTATTGGGACCGATAGATGTGCAAAAGGAAAAAATCCTAAAGAGAAATTTGATTATAAAGGAGAGGGAGAATACCTAAAAAGATAGATCCCTTAATCCAGCACATTGGCGCTACCGTGGGGCAGGAAAAACTTTTCCTACTTCATATGCAAAACAATCATAATGACTCGTACCAACGAAACAATCAAGACCCTGACAGGCTTTACCCTTCATAAAAGAATACGATGGAGTTCGAATGGAGTTCGAAAAGAGAAAATTCGCAACACCAGCTTCTCTGACTTCTACGGAATCAGACAAATTCCCGAAGGGTTCAACCAAAGCCTTTCTTACTTCACCACAAGTTCTGCTTCGGCCGAATCTCCATCCTCTCCCAACCCCTCTCCGAATCTCCAAATCCTAGAAAGAAAGCCAGAGGTGGCACGTGGCTCCACCGGAACCCCACGATGAAGGGATGTTCCGAGAGGTAGTGGATTAGGGGTGGTGGTGCCTTCGGCATCGTGAACCGCACTTTCACATGACGACGTCGTTCCAATTCGTTGGAACTTGGAAAAGGTTGGACTCCCAAATCGAAGAGAGTGGAAAGAAAGGAATTTACAATCGATAGAAGACTTGGGACTCTGCAGAGATTAAAATGAGGGAAAAATATTAAATGTTAACGTGGCGCTTTATCATTGGAGATGAGTGTGGAAGTTGAAGACAACGTTTGCCACGTGCACTAGAAAATTATTTTCGACTTACGCAATTTGGCTCCACTCTTATTTTTATAATATTGTTGACTTCACCTTGCTTTCTCTTTTTAACAAAATCAAGACTTGACGGCTTTATTGCAACAATCCGGAAGCTCAACTTCTAATCTCTGCACACTAACCAAATTAGTTCTATTTCTTCATGTCCCAGACAGTCTCCATCATTCTCAGGTACTTGTTTTTCTTTAATCAGGTCTATCAACACATGCAGTATCACATCTTGGATCATAGATTTAGACACCAGCGATTGATCTATTTCACTTTCACATTTCTTTACATATAACATATTAATCATGTTGTTATCAACTTACCCACATATCAACAAGTTCTTGCAAGTCATTCCCACGTAGTAAATATATAGTTGTTTTTCTTAATTAATATTCTTTAAATACATGCATCCACCCTCAATTTAATCTTCACTTTTAAAATTTTTTTTCCTCATCGCCACTCACATGGGTTGATTCAGCTCTTTATTAAGTTATTCGAAGTTTTAATACAACCCGTCTAATAATTAGAGGTGTAAATACAACCATAGACTTTGAATCTAACCACTACTGACTCTATTTCTTAAAATAATAATAAAAATTGGATAAGCTTTTGAAATAGCAAAACAAAATTTACTTATTATTTATTTGTAAATTAAAAATTTAAGGTATTAGGTTAACCAAATTTTAATTTTTCAGTGAACTGTCGAGAAATTAGATACAAGCTTCAACGAATTTTATAATATATATTAGTAATTATTTCAAACATACTAATGCTTTGTCTTGAATACAAGAAATTAATTAAATTAAAAGGTAATTTTACTAACCAAATAATTTAAATTAAATATAAAATAATAAATGACTGAAACTGCATCGCTTTTGTTTCCTATATATATGACTGAAATGTAAAGTCCTTCGGCGTCGCTGTAGCGGCGTTCCTGTTCCTCAAGCCATTTTTTTTCTATCTTTCCTCTTCCTCAAGTCATTCTTCTTTTCTATAGTGTCCTATTCCTCAAGGATATTTTTGTTTTTCTATCTTCTTCCACTGCATTATTCAAAGGATATTTTTGTTTTTCTATCTTCTTCCACTGCATTAATCAAACTATGGTTAGCTAATCACGTACGTGGAGTAAGGTTTATTTTCTCTACGCTAATAGATTTTGTTAGTTTAATAGTGTGATTTGTAATGATGGCTGCTGAAAGGTCTGAAATATCCAAAGATGTTGCAT